GGCTCGGCCCCCCGGCCCGGCTCGGGTCCGGCCCGTGTCCCAGCCCCCCGGCCCGGCTCAGGTCCGGTCCGGCTTGGGTTCGGCTTGGGCCCGGCCCCCCGGCTCAGCTCCGGCCCAGCCCTGGGTGAGCGGCTCCGGGCCAGACCCAAGCCCCACGACCCCGGCTGGAGCTCCAGCCGGAGCGCAGCCCGATTCCTGGGGGCGGGGCTTGCGGCAAGCCACGCCCCCAGGAATTGGGCCCTGCTCTTGCTAAAGCCGGCCCTGCGCCCCCTAACTCACCCGGCAATATCCTTCCACCCCCAGAACTGCTCCGTGGCCACCTGTAAGAAGATCCGGTGCAGAATCGCCTCCCTGGAAATGCAGCAACCGCTGGAGTTTATGATCAAAGGGAACGTCAGCTTCCAGTGGGTCTCCCAGGTACGAGAGCTGCCTCTGCCTCTCGGCCCCAGGCGAGGAATCCCCCCCACGCGAACAGCCCCAGAGGTGGCTGCATTTCAGTGCTGGGCAAGGGATTGCCCCTGTGTGAACGGCCTGTAAATTGCTCCGGGTCCCCCTGGGACGATGCTCTGGGCTGGTTTGTATCATTTCCAGTCAGGGACGGTGAATTTCTCTGTTCCAGACACAGCAGCAGAAAGTGAGTCTGGTGAGCGAGGCCCGGATTGAATACGAGGAGGAGAAATACACCCAGAAGGAGGGATTCGTCCAGCGCCAGGTACCAGAGTGACTGCGCCCGGGATAGAGAGAGCATCGGCCAGTGGTTAGAGCTGGGACCCAGGACACCTGGGTCCTGTCCCTGCTCTGGGAGGAAGTGGGATCTGGTGTGTTAGAACAGGGGAGGGTGAGGGTGCCGGGACTCCTGGGTCCCCATCTCACGCCTCCTCTCCCCCAGGTACAGACGGTGGTGGAGCTCTCCGAGGCCTATAACTACCTGCCCATCATTGTGGGCAGCAGCGTGGGGGGCCTGGTCCTGCTGGCTCTCATCACTGCAGCCCTCTACAAGGTGAGTGGGGCAGGGCTTGGATCTCTCCCCCACAGCCCATCACCCTGGGGGCGGGGCCTGTGGCTCTCCCTGCTGGTGGGGGAGGGGCAAGGGTCTTTCCTTCAGAGGTTCCCACAGCCCATCCCTCCTCCTCCTCGGCCATCAGCCTGTGTCTGTCTGTCTCTCCCCCTCTCCCCCCTCTGCCTCCTTCCAGCTCGATTTCTTCAAGTGCAAGTACAAGCAGATGATGGAGGATGCTGTGGAAGGCGAGAGGTCTCGCCTGATCCTGAGTGCAACAACTGGCAACCCCCCTGCTTCTGATGCCCCCAAACAATAGCCCCCCATGCGCTCCCCTAGATGGGTCACAGAACCCCCAAATTTTAATTGCTGAAGCTGGGCACCCTCACTCTGCCGTCCTCCTTGTCCCCCTTCCCCACAGGCATGAGTTGCCAATGTTGCCTCCCCCGGCTTTGCCTCCCTCTGGGTTGTTCCAGATCCACCCCCGCCCCCTTATGTTTGCCACCTCCAAGATGCAGAGAGACCGGCCACTGCCCATCCCCCAACCAACAAAAGAGATCCTAGTGCCAACTAGAGCTAATTGTTACTCAATTCTATTTACCTTTTTATAATTTGAATGGAGAACACTGAGGTTATTTTTCTAGGCATTTTTTTTAGAATTCTATTGATTTAAATTTTGATGTGGAAAATTCTGGGTTTTTAGCATCCCACCCCCATTTTTATCAATGTAAATGATCCCGGTTGTGGGAATTTGTGTGTGTAGGGGGTCAGGCCAGATGTGAAGGTCCGACAGTTATTTATTGGCAGTAGAGGTTGGGATTCAAAAAGTTAAAGCTTTATAGCTATGCTGGGAAGGATGGATTTTTATTGGTAAATGTTGAATTCATCACACACAGGCAAACTGCGGGCAAAATATTTCCATCGCTAATAATTGAAATTTTCTGCTTGAGAACATATTGGAGTTTGATTTAAGGCTATTTCCTTCATATATTTTGACACGTGATGTCAATAATTTGTATTTGAATAGTTATAAAATGTGACCTTTTAAAATCAATGTCTGTTGTCTTTACAGAATTAGGGTTTGATTCCCCTCCCCTCAGTAATTTTCCACAACGGAAAATTTAAATGAATAAAAATCAAAAACTTTTGCTTAGAAATAAACAGTACTGTGCATGGAAATTATTTTTAAAAAGAATTCTGCCAAGCTTATTTATAACCTTTAAAAACACAAACTGTCGACATCACATGTCAAATTGCACAAAGTAATTATCCTGAAAGCAGCCCCAGTGACATCCACACAGCCACAAATTTTCTACACAATAAGGTGGGACACTAGAAAGTTCTCCAGGAGCAATTTTCTTTCTTTGTCTAGCTGCATGTTTTGATTGTTATCGACAGAAACGTTTTCCCTCGGTTTGGGGGGGAGGTGCGGTGAAACTGATGTTTGCTGACAATTACCGCTAAAAATCTCACTGTCCCAAGCCTACCTAAAACGCGGAGTGAGTGGGCAACAAAATCGACCCCCAAAACCCCCGAACCGCTATATAGGTATTACTGTGTTCAGTTAGGGAATGACAGATCCTCAGAGCTGCATTCCCCTGCCCTGGTGAGGAACTAACAAATACATAAAGGATAAATGACATTCCCGTTGGATGAATAGAAGAGATGTTCAGTGGTGAACAGGGGTGAGGCTGTGGCCCCTTTCCCCACAGCTGTGACCACAGCCGTTCTTTCTTGCACAGGGAGCCCTTGCCTTGCCCATCATGAGCCCCCACACCCAGCGCCTCCCAGGAGATTCAGCCCAGGAGGGAGCCTTCCCCCCATCGTCCCCTCCCAGGAGACTCTGCCTCTCCCACCCTGCTCCTGCCCCTCCCTGTTGGTGAGCTGTGAGTCCAGCTCACGTCCTGGCACTGAGAGAAATTGCCGTGGTTCAACAGGCTGAGCAGGGCCAGCTGCACACCCGGCCACGTGTCCTGCGTGGTAGATACAAATTCACTGCACGTGTGGCTGTCCACACTCACGTCTGGCAGAGGGACATCAAACCCCCAGACGTTAAATCTTTTCACTGGCAACAGGCAAGGCAGGACAAAAAGTGCCAGGCCAGTTAAAAATCATCCAGGTGGCAACGTTATGTGGGATGCTCCGGATCCATATCCTGATGCCCCTTGCTGAACTTGAAACCTCCCAACCAGAGCGTCTGTGGCAGGGCTGGGAGCCAGGACTCCTGGACTCTATCCCAGGAGCTGTGGAAGGGAGTGGGGTCTAGTGGGTTAGAGCAGGAGGCCCGCTCTCGGCCGGTGTCTGACCCACGCTCAGCCCAGCAGGGGCTTGCTCTCGGCCAGGGTCTGTGCAGCGCCCGGCACAATGGGGGCCCTGGTCTCAGTTGGGGCCTTGAGGTGCTACTGGGTTACTTCCAATAAAACCAAGCTCTCAGAGTCATTCGCCTGCCTGGTCTGAAGTCTCAGGTCACTTCAAACTGTCTCACAATACTGTGGGTGTGTGTTTGTGGGACTGACAGGGGCTGTGCTGTCCTACCTTCCACAGCACACAAGGGAATGAAATCACTTTTAAATCTGATTGAAAAAGAAAAAATAAATGTCTCTGTTCTGCAGGTTTAGCCTGAGGAACTCCCTGCCACATGTGGTAATGAGGCTGGGACCAAATACGTTCCTGTATTCACACCCTACGTACTATTGTAATAATCTTTGTACAAAGTATGCCTTGTGAGGTATAATTCGAAAACTCACAAGTTGTTGATCAGTATTGTCCTGATAAGCTATGTGTCTCAACATTGCATGTAAAGCTTTATAAGATTTCCCTGTATGATGTTACTGACCTGTGTTCCCAACCCCACAGCCTTGCTCATGCAGAAGTTGGCAACCAAATGAGGTCTCAAGAAAGGAATGTCCCTGCCTGAGTTTGTCTTTAGGCCGTAAACGGTCATCAAGAAAGAAGGAAAACAAAGGAAGCTCAATCGTGTGAAGAAATGCCAGCTGTGAACGTCCTTCCACATAAACTGTGTGTGTCCTAGTGCCCAGCTGGAAATGTTTTTCAAGAGTGAGACTGAAACTCTAAAAAGGAGGGACAACCCCTCCTTCCCTGCCCATGGCATTCACTGCACCTGAAGAGAGACAGGAAGTATTCACTGGATGCTGAGGAAGAGGGCCTGACGTACACAGTTTGATCTGGAAGGAAGCTGAAAGCAGGTGATGAGAAACTTTGCTTGAATAAGATATAGTTTAAATTAGGTACTAGTAAATGTTTCATCTTTGTAACCATTTCTGACTTTTATTCCTCATGAGTTGGATTCACTTCAAATCTCTCTCTTTGTAGTTAATAAACTTGTTTTATTCTTTTATCTAGTCTAGTGTGTTTGAATGGAAGTGTCTGGGTAACTCTGGTTTGGGGTGGTAATTTGTGGGCACAGGAATAATCTTACAGGAATAATGGACTTAATATGATTTGTAGTGTCCAGGAGAGAGCTGGGCAGTACAGGACATAGATTTCTGGGAGAAAATCTAAGACTGGGTGTGTGCTGGGGGTCACCCTGCTGTATAACTCGGCTGGTGAGAGCCAGAGTGTAACCCAGGTGTGGTTAACAGGCTGCAGTTACACACAGACACTCAGGGTGTGAGTTGCATGCTCTTAGGCTGTTTGTGAGTGGCCCAGGTGGGAGTTATTTCAGCAAGAGTTTGTAAGACACTCAAGGCTGCAGGGCCAGGAGGTGACAGAGCTGCTCATTAGTCTGGATTGTACCCTGGCATGCCAGAGATGTGTAAACAGGACTCTCACGTGGGAGTAAAGGGGTTATATTCTCTCGGTGTTTGGCACTGGCGGGACCGCTGTTGGAAAGCTGTGTCCGCTAAGCAGTGTGACATAATGTCTGTGCCACTCAGGAAAGACAAGAAGTCCAGGCACTTCAGTGCTATAAGGCCAATGTCATCACTTCCATGACATAATTAATCTAAGCAGTCCATGGCGTAGGGTCACCCACAGTCATTCCTCAAGCCTACTATGGACTTTCAGGTCCTAGAGACGTGTGTTTCCCCGATAGTCTCATTAAAGTTCCTAAATTACCATTTAGGTAGAGGGCGGCTGGGTTCATCTTGTGTCTCCTTAATGATAAAATATCA